AAAAAATAATAATAAAAAATAAGATGATTAATTAAAAAATAGAAAAATACGAACTTAAAAGCGAACAAATGGGAAAGCTGCTGATCAACTATTACAAAAAGAATTATTTTGTTTAATATTATGTTGCAAAATATTTAAAAAAATGCACATTAATAAAGATAAAAGCTACAAAATAATAAAATTTTTAAAATAAAAAAATATTAAATAAAAGATATATAACAACCTAAAAATCAAGGTAATGAAAAAAATATGACGCTATATTCTGAAAAAAAAAATAATACAAAATAAAAAATAAGTACAACCAAATAATAATAATAATAATAATAATAATAATAATAAAATTGAAATAACGACCTCTAATCAACAATACGAAGAAATTACGAAGAAATTATGTTAATAAAATAATCTCTCCTATAAAAATAGAAAAAAAAAAAAAATTGGTCTCAATATAAAAAAATTCATCAATTTTAGTCTTATTATAAACAATTTTAATCAACTTTGGTCTCAATGTTAAAACTAATGGAAATGGCTGACATGGTAGCTGACTTGGAAACTACACGACCATTTACAATTATACACAGTCATGTTGTCACACGATCATATATATTTTAGTGTACAATTATACACGACTATGTTTTTACACGGCCGTATACCTTCTTAGTTTGGTTTTAAAAATTATTTTTTTTGTTATATTTTTTTTAAAAGAAAAATATTTTGAATTTAGAAAATTGATATAATTAAAATGGAAAAAATCAATAGCAATTCTAATATAATTAAAATGTATCAATTTTAGTTCAAATATAAAAATTTATCGAATGTTCTTTTGGAAGATTTTGTCTAAAATTCTACTATTTATCAAAAATATTTATCTTAAAAATATTCAATTACACTATTATTTTTTATTTTTGTATATTATAGTATTAAAAGTTAATTTTATATTTCAATACAATTATATATCCAGCCCCCCTCTCCCACCCCACCCCCTTATAATTTTTAATTTTTTTTATTTTATAATATGTAATATAAAAAATAATAAATTAATTAAAAAATTGCAAAAAATTGATAGAATATTTATGTGAAATTTTAAATTTTGAATAATAAAAAAAAGTACATCATAATAATTTTTGAATAATATAAAAATAGATATGAACAAAAAAGTAATAAATAATAATTAAAAAAAATCTTCAAAAATTTTTCAACCAAATACACTATTTTTAACAGCTTTTTTTAATAAATGTTTTTATTATTTATCAATTTCATATAATACAAAATTCATTTTGTAATATGCAGTTGTCAATGTAGATTGATATTTTGCAAGATTTTATAGATGATGATCATTTCAAAATTTTAAGAATTAGCCCCCCCCCCTCTTTTATCCTGGTCTGGTTCCGCCTCTGATTATATATGTCTATGTTGAAATTGTTTGAAATTGTATTAAAATGTAAAATAAATTTTTAATACTCCCTCCGTCCAATTGAAAGGTTGTCATTTTCCATTTCCGTCCGTCCCAAAACAAAGTTTTCTAATTTAGTAATTGTACGATCTACCTAATATAATAAATACTAATTCAATTTACACTATATTAAACAAATGTCATTACTTTTATATTACACAATACTAATAAAAGTATTTTTATCTTTTTCACTACAACCCAATATAATAATAATATTAAAAAATCTACGTACAAAAAGTAAACGACAACCTTTCTACGGAATGAAGGGAGTATAATATAAAAAATAAAAAATAGTTGTGTAATTGAATGTTTATAAGAGGAAAATTTTTTATGAACAATAGAATTTTAGGCCAAATCTTTCAGAAGAATATATCCTATTAATTTTTATATTTGAATTAAAATTGATACATTTTAATTATATTAGTATTACTATTGATTTTTTTTTTCATTTTAACTATATCAAGTATTCTATATTCAACATATATTTTTTTTTTTAAAAAAAATTAGACCAAAACAGAAAAGTACACGACCGTGTAAAATTAAATATGACCGTGTATAATTGTACACCAAAATATACATGACCGTGTGCTTTCTAGATCAGCTGCCACGTCAATTCCATTAAGGGTGTGTTTGTTTGAAGGATTTGTTTGGATTTCCACTGTTCATCCTATTTTTTTCCCCCAAAAATATCAAATCAAAATCTATTTTTCATTTTTTATATTATACTAAAAATCAATTTTACATTCAAAACATCACATCAACACCTATTTATATCACATCATACATAAATTTAAATTCAAAATTTTTACTATTCAAATACCAACTCAAAATCCAAACCCTCAAACAAACACACCCTAGTTTGTTTGAAGGATTTTGAAGGATTTCCACTATTCATCCAATTTTTTCCCCCCAAAAACATCAAATTAAACACCTATTTTTTATTTTTTATATTATACTAAAAATCAATTTTACATTCAAAACATCACATCAAACCCTATTTATATCACATCATACAACTATTCAAATTCAAAATTTTTACTATTCAAATCCCAATCCAAAATCCAAACCCCCAAACAAACACACCCTTAAATATATAAATGAAGGCTAATACGAGACAGCTAATATGATATGTTTAAAATTGGCAAAGTAGAGTTTTGTTTGATAGTTTACATAAAATTGGTTTACTGCAATTACTTACACATTTACAGTGAATCTATTAGTTTTAAAAATTATACTACTTCCGTTTCATATAGAGAGCACAATTTGACTATTCCGTCGTTGTATTAACATAAAAAAATATCTTTATATTTGTATGATTATTTCACAAATGTTATTGTATTTGTATTATAAGTGATTGATATAGGTATTTTTTTATTTTTCACTTGATTTGTGCTAAGTATTAATATAATAATTAATATTTAAAAATCAACATGCAAAAAGTCAACGATACTCTTGTTATGAGACGGAGGTGCTATTTATTTGTGTATAATTTAAATAGTAATATTAAATATATTTAATTGAATATATTACTTTAAAATTTATATGAAATTATTTATGTTAATATATTGTTTTTTAATTTTATTTTTTTTTATCTATATTAGTTATACGTTTTTTTTTAAATAATATTATAAAGAATGTTATTTTAATTTAATTAATTTAAGATAATACTTCCTTCGTCCCATAATAATTAATCAAGATCTTCCCGGGCAAGCAACATCTTTATTTTATTTTATTTTTTTTTAAAAAAAATTGTTGATGTGGCGCATCGGAGATGCACCCATTGCGGTTGGCCTTAGTAATTTATACTTTATTCCTACTATGTCTCAATATAATATTAATATTTTTAAAATTATTTAAAAAACAAATAAATATTTAGTTTCGGGAGAGAGGGAGTAATATTAATATATTGAAAATATATATTATTTATGATTGAATAATACTAAAATATATATCTTTCTAAAAAATGATGATCTAAAATAATAATACTAAAATATATATAATATACGAAATTGGAAATATATACCCACTCTGTATCAGTTCCAATTCAAAGTACCACACTTTAAAATCTTTATTTTATATTTAAAAAAAATAATTTAAATACTAATACAAAAATACTAGACATTTATTTCAGATAAAAATATACCATTACACAACAATTATTTTATATATAAAATAAAAGGGCAAAAATATCAAAATTTTTACGTATTTTTACTAACCAATAAAATACTATTATTTATTGCAACATGGAGACAGTATTATTTATTACCAAATCGAATATTTACGAATATCGAATCAAATACTCCCTCCGTCCCATAATTAAATATTCATTTGCTTTTTGAACGTAGGATTAGTATAACATTAAGATGCAGTAACAATAAAATAGAAATGATTAAAATAACCTTATTAGTATGTATGATACAAAGGTAATGACATTTGTGTAATATATTGTAAGTTGTAAGGGTATTTGTAATGTTAGGTAGATAGTAAAATTACTAGAAATGAATACTTTGTTACGAGTTGGACTAAAATGAAAAAATAAATACTTTATTACGAGACGGAGGGAGTATTAAAAAATTCATATTTGTATTTGAATAATATTTCAAATCGAATCGAATATCCGAATAAAGATATTTGGCTGGTTGACACCTAGCTCCAAGTTGCAGCCTTATATAAAAATATATGTATATATATTTACGCTATCTCTCTCACATAATTTGTTTTTATTCTATATTTCGTTCATTCCATATAATTATAATTATACATTTTAATTATATTTTAAATTTTATATTTTATAATTTTTTTAATCATAATTAAACTATTTATGTATAATTATTTTTACTATATAATAATCATTTGTATTAATACATTTTATAATTACTTATTATTTTCGTTTTATCTAAATTATTGTATATAGACTAATAGACCATGGGACGGACATAGAGGTGAGCAAAATATCCGAAATTCGAAAATCCAATCCGAACCAAATCGAAATTTAAAATTTAGTTCGGATTTTTCGGATTTTCGGATTGGATCGGATTGAATTTTTAACAAATTTCGAATTTTCGGATCGAATCGGATCGGTATACTTAAAATCCGAAATCCGAAATATAATATTTTAATATATTTTTATTATATATGTTTAATATTTTATTAGAAAATATTATATTTTAATATAAAAAACTCAAATTTATTAATTATATTCTAACATATTTAATTTTTATATATTATATATATATTTAATATTATAAAATAATAATAAAATATAAAAGAATTTAAAATTTAAAAAATAATAATAAAATATTTAGAATTTCGGATTTTTTGATTTGGTTCGAATTACGAATTTTCGAATTTCGAATTTCGATTATTTCGAATAGTCCGAAGCGCAATAATTTTTTTGAAATCACACAAAAAAAAAATAAAAATAAAAATAAAAAAAAATAAAAAATAAAAATTAATGAAGACGCTATGCCAGCTAGATTCAACACCAACGATTCTACCATAGTAGTTTGGTTGAGCCTACTGACTGCTGCAGTACTGCCAGTACAGTGTAGTGTGGTGTACTGTAGTTTGGATTCCAAATCGATCACATGGAAGTTTGCCTTGGCGCGAGGGTTTCCGTCATTTCTTCGTTCGTTTCTTATCAGATGGATCGGAATTGAATTGAGTTGAATTTATATAGTTGTCCTGTCCTTGTGTTTGGCTTGATGCTGAGAAAATTAAAATCTAAAATCGTATTGGATCGCATTCAATGCTAAATTAATTCGTTCGCGTGAACCACACACACTGTTGTGTTCTTTTAATGATATAAGAGAGACTCCGTGTGAAAGGTTGGACATTGATGTACGCAGTGCAGCAGCAATGGAGGGCTTGGAGAAACTGAAACGCACTTTCCAAACTGGGCGAACACGAGGAATCGATTGGCGAAGTGCGCAGCTTCGAGCTCTTCTGAGACTTCTATCGCAAAATGAGGCCCAGATTTTTGAAGCTCTGGAAAAGGATCTCGGGAAACATGCTGTTGAAGCGTATCGCGATGAGGTTTGACTTGATTTCCAAATATCATCATCCACTATCTGCCTGTTATTACGCTATTATTATGCCAATAGGAATTAGGGATTTGTTGGTTGTTGCTCAATCAGAAGCAGAGCTTAAAATTTTTTGTCGATTTATGGTGGAGATTGGACGGATTACTTTTTGGTGAATCCCTCTGATCTTCCTAAAAGTTTGGTTTGGAATATTTTAATCAAGGTCACCTGGTGGCTTATCATCATTTGTTTAAAGTGTTTTTTTGTCAAGTTACCACTGTTTGACTCGACTACATCCATTTCTTGTATGACTTCTTGCCTCTATGCTTTGATCCATTGTTGTGGGCATGTGAAAACAAAGATGTCAATTTATTTGCTTGCCCAATGTTGATATGATGATAATTCTTATTTCTGAAACAGATTGGAGTGGTGAAGAAATCAGCAGACCATGCTTTGCTTCATCTCAAGGAATGGATGGCTCCCAAAAAGGTAACGTAGTTCTAAGAAGATTGTCGTCTGCTTCTGAGTAGAAGAAATAAATAGTTGGAAGATATCTTGAAAATTTAGTAATTTTAGTGTTTCTTATCAATCATATTTGAAAGAACTCTGTTTTCTTCACCTATATGTTCTTGTGCTTGATGATTGGTAGTCATGAAACAAAATTATATGTATAGGATTCTATGTTATAACAATGATTGTGTTACTATTTACTTGATTCATCAATTTTTTTCCAGTTGCATATGCTTGCAAAAGCTGTTTTTTCTTTTTCTTTTTCTTTTCTGGGTATTTAGACACTGTTCCAAGAATGTATGCGTTTCGCTTATAGTTGAAATAAATATTAAATTCTAAAATTACTACAAGATATAGTAGTGGAATGCTTTCAAATTGAAACTCATGCATTTTTCTCCTATGCAGAAAATAGCCATTTTTATTAATATACACTTCATAAAATTATGCGTCGATCATTGCCTACCAACAAGCGTTCAACTTCGAATTGCAAAAACTATGTTTAACCTGCTTAAATACTAGGAATATAGAAATTGTATGTGCAAGTATGCTGACTTTGTAAATATGGTTATATGTGTTGAAACAGAGTCCACTACCTTTACTCTTGCAACCCGCAAGAGGACAGATTTTGACTGAACCGCTGGGCACGGTACTTATATTCGGGTGCTGGAATTTCCCCATCAGTAAGTTCTCTATTTTTCCCAGTGCATGCCTATTTCACTTGCCGAGAATCTGTGGATTAGTTTATTGTACTTTGTGATGATTGAAGAATATTTCAATCGCTATACACAAGTATCTTAGAAAAACCAAGTAGCATTATACATAAATATGAAAAGATTCGTCATTCAAGAGATCAAGATCTATAAGATTCAACATACGTTCTGCTACATGTGAAAAATGGGGCTGTTTATATAAGCATAAACTAAGTTCCTGTCCTGTGATTTACTACTTCAGGTCTTACATTGGATCCTTTAATTGGGGCAATATCTGCCGGAAACACAACTGTTCTAAAGCCATCGGAGTTAGCACCAGCATGTTCTTCGGTACTTTTCCGTACAATCCCACTCTATTTGGACACAGAAGCCATTAAAGTTGTCGAAGGAGGAAGTGATATTGCGGAAAAATTATTGGAGCAACAATGGGATAAAATATTTTTCACAGGTTCTTACAAAAACAAAATTTCATGTCTTTTCAGCTGCTTGGATTCCCCTATATGGTTATTGATTAAGTTTGTGTTTTATATCCAGGTAGCCCACGAGTTGGACGCATAATCATGTCTGCTGCTGCAAAGCATTTGACACCCGTTACTCTAGAGCTGGGTGGAAAATGTCCCGCCATTTTTGATGTCTTCTCTGCCTCAGACTTTAAGGTTCAGTTTGGTTCCTTGTGTAATAACTAATGAATGCTTTTCATTCAACCAGTTTCCGAATGACACACGGATGCACTAGTCCATCATCAGATTATGAGGATGATGGAAATTCCTTTTTTCATTTTTGTTAATAGAATAGACTAATATATTCGATTATTCGATTGAAGGTGGCTGTAAAGAGAATAGTTGGAGGGAAATGGGGACCATGTGCAGGGCAGGCCTGCATAGGAATTGATTACTTGCTTGTCGAACAAAAGCATGTCACACAGTTGGTAAAGCCTAATCTCTTGCAGCACAGCACGGGTTGTTTTTGGTTTGGTTGTTCCAAAGTCTGGCCTCGACCGACTTTGTAAAAAATTATTATTACTTACTTTCAGGTTGACTCACTGAAGCTTTGCATCCAAAGATTTTATGGTGATGGCGTGGAGAAGCTGCAGAACATTTGTAGAATTGTGAACAGGCATCACTTTGATAGAGTGCGCGGTATGGTTGAGGAATCTGGTGTGGCAGCTTCCATTGTTTATGGTGGCTCGTTCGATGAGGAAAATTTGTTAGTTCTCTCTGCTCTGCACTGCTGCTTTATAATAAATCTCAACTAGTTGTTTAGAAATGCTATTGCCCCCTCCTAAACATGGATGGTTTGGCGTCGATTGAAAACAGGATGATTCAGCCGACAATTTTGGTGAATCCTCCTCTGGATGCTCAGGTTATGACTGACGAAATATTTGGACCGCTGCTCCCCATTATTACGGTAGGTTAAGGATATAATGACGATCAGATCCGAGCATGTGTTGAAATTAATGTTGCTTTGCAGCTTGACAAAATTGAAGAAAGCATCGAGTTCATCAATGCAAGAGCAAAGCCTCTGGCCATATACGCCTTCACGAAGAATGAAAAATTGAAGGACAGGATTTTGCAAGAAACATCCTCCGGAAGTGTGACATTCAACGACGCCATGATCCAGGTATGACGACGAGTCGAGTAAATTTCATTGCGTGTCCTCCATGAATATGATTATATGATGATCCATTGGCATTGATATATAAAATGCTGCATTGCATGCTGCACACAGTTTATATGCGATACTTTGCCTTTCGGAGGCATGGGACAAAGCGGGTTCGGGCGGTACCATGGAAAATACTCATTCGATACGTTCAGCCATGAGAAGGCAGTTCTGCACAGAAATTTCGGGTTTGAGCTGAAGGCCAGGTACCCTCCATGGAACAGCTTTAAGCTTGAGTTCATTAGGCTGGCTTATGACCTCAACTATCTCGCCCTATTGCTTCTCTTGCTGGGCTTCAACCGCCACCGCCAACCCTAACCGTACGTGCCCAAGTACGCATTTCTTGTCCTGTCTTGTCTGGTTGAGGAAAGATGCCAATCTACTTGAGCTACTTCACATACTTATAAGCGTCTGTTTACTTCCATGTATTGGCATTGTGCTTTTGCATGGTGGCGTGCCAAAACATGCTTGGGTGGTGGATCTATAGCTTATTGACATATACTTGCTCTATTATTTCATTCACTATTTATTTTCTATTATAGCAAAAATAATAAAATCTTAATATTGAAAGATATATTTTTTTAATTTTTACATAAAATTACAAATTTATGTATTTTTTTTAATTAATAAAATATTATTATTTTTAAATTTACTGCAAAATTTCAAATGAGAAGAGAGAGCATGTATATTAATTATATATTGTTTATTTTATACTCCTTCTGTTCTAAACGTCATACAACATTTGATTTTATTCCATCACATAGCTCGCCTAATTTTCAAATCATCTCAAATTACTCTACTTAATACTATTCACCTAAATTCTCGTGCCGGTGTTTGAAACGGAGGGAGTATTATATTGTATGGACAAACATATTAATATTTTATCTTTTTATTTTAAATTTTTATTATATAACATTTAGTTTTATAAAATGACATAAATATTGATTATATTTTATTAAATATAATTTTAATAATACCACAGTATACATTATTAATTTTAAAATTTTTTAATTATATTAAACTAAATTTGTTGTTTTTACTTCGTCAATCACTATCATAATTATTACTACTCTAAATATCTTTGAAGGTGGTTGTTAAAGTTCTAAAATGAAATAAATCAACGCATTAAACACCACTTCATGAAGTATAAATAGATTATATAAGATATATCAATATAATATAAAATATAAATATATGAAACGACAATACTTAACAATAATAATAATAATAATAATAATAATAATAATAATAATAATAATAATAATAATAATAAATACTCTATCCGTCCGCCTCTGAAGTCATATTTATTTTTTGGGTCATTATATTTAACATTAAAAATATCTTTATATTTGTATATATATATTTTTTTACAAATATTTTTCTATTAATATTATAAGACAGTATTTTGTAATTTTTTCTTAATTTGTACAACGTTTGATATAATAGTTAATGTTTAAATATCAAAACACAAAAAATAAATAAAAAGATCTTACAGCCAGACGAATATAGTATATACTATAATTGTATTCAGCGCTTAAGATATGTAAAACTACACATTATAAGAATAACACAACATATATATATATATATATATTGTATTCATGCAAACTACGTACTACTTACTCATTATTGATTGTGTTAAATAAGTATGTAACAAAATCGATCTTTAAAAACATATTTCAAATTCAAAATAATTTACAACTATTCCTCAAATATGTCTAAAATTTCAAATATCCTCCAAAATTATATACTTGCTCCGTCCTTGAGTTTACTTTCTATATGTAGAATTTAATATATATATATATATATATTAATATGTAGGACAATAAAGTGATAAATGTAAAATTTTACTCATGCTGATGTCTTGTAATATAATAAAATTATGTTGATGATATTGTTATAATAATAGACAATGAGTTTGTTCTTTCAATTTGTTTTTTCAACACCATTCTTGATATATATATATTTTATCCTCTCACAAAAACCAACATTCAATATAAAATATTATTTTTTATATTACCGACATAATTGTCTATACCAAACATAAAAAAAAAAAAAAAAAAAAAAAAAATTCAAATAAAAACACCAAACAAACAAACCCAATATGTAAGAGTTTTTTTTTTTTTTCAATTTTTTTTTTTCAATTTTATAATATTTGTGGAAACTGCTACTACTAAAAAAACATAAAAACTGATTACGGATAGATCAAAATGCAAAAAACTAAGGGTGTGTTTGTTTGAGGGATTTGTTTGGATTTCTACTATTCATCGTATTTTTTCTCCCAAAAATATCAAATCAAAGACCTATTTTTCATTTTTTATATTATACTAAAAATTAATTTTACATTCAAAACATCGCATCAACACCTATTTATATCACATCATACAACTATTCAAATTCAAAATTTTTACTATTCAAATTCCAATCCAAAATCCAAACCCACAGACAAACACACCCTAAATAGATTCTGAACAAATCAAGTACATGTGTATAGTTAAGATTTTTAGTCTATTTTATAAATTACAATTATTTTTTCCAAGTAAAAAATAGAAGGTATATTAAAAGTTTTTATATATATAAATTATTTTTTTTATATTGACTTTAAAAATATAAATTAACTTATATTGAAATAACATTTTTGTTAATGGTATGTATATGTGTACGTGTATATTATTTTTTCTTCTACAAATAATGTTACTAATGAGTAATGATGTGTATGTTTTTTACTATATTTCAAAATCTTAAATTAACTTTCAATATTATTATTAATTTTTTAATTTAAATATACATACAATTTTTTATATTTATTATATATAATATAATAAAAGATATATATTTAATTATAAGAGTTAGTTTTTATTTTTCCTTCTGCCTAAAAGTTTGAAATAGCATGACAGAGAGAAAAGATCAAAAAATTGATAGTGGAATTTCATCCCATTCCGATTTCTAGTTGATTTATTCATTTAATTTTGAATTCTCTCTTAGTTTTTCATTTATAATGACAATATGCTCAATAACTAATGACTTGTGTAGCACATTGCCGTCTTGAGACTTCAATTTTCACATGTTCTTTTGGATATGCTTTTTTGTGTCTCTTTTTTTCATGTTGTCTACTTTGTTACAGTTACTAGTCCGAACTGAGGTGTATTGGCGGAGCTAGAATTTTTTTTGGCGGGGGCCCAAATTTTTTCTATATAAATAATATGTAATAAATTTAAAATTATATAATTTAATAAAAAATTACAAACAACCTGGTTTTTTATCTGGGTTTTTTAAAATATTTCTAAATATTTGGAGTATTTGAACCAATTTTTTTAAGTGTTTGTATTAAATATAAAAAATAATAATACTTTTATTAAATTTATAGGAGTGACCAATTATTTAAATTTTAAAAATTATACAAATATTATATAATAAAAATACAAAACTCAAATAATTAGGGGGGCCGAACAGCCTTCAGCCCCCCTACTAGCTCCGCCACTGTGTTTTCATAAGTACACATTTTTTTGGCTTCAGACATGCAAGCAATCTATCGAGAAAGGGTATGCGTATAATTGTGCATTTTAGTTTACATATTCCTTGATTTAGATTTAGGGTTAAATATTTTCTGTTAAAATTTTATATTAGTTTATTGTAAGAGGAGTCATCTCATAGACCCGTTGTACTAAGAGCCAATCAATTCATAAGACGCAGAAAAAAAAAAACAAACAAAAAAAAAAATGCTTTATGAAGGAGGCATGGCCTTTCGATGTATTAGATGACGCAACACCAATTGATACTACCAATTCTATTTACGAAAAAAGTGAAAAACTTGTTTTACTAGGTATGTTGTGTTGTTATGGTTATTGTGTGTCTACTATAATATTAGACTTTAAAGTAGACTTAAAGGTATGTTGTCACGTAATTTTAAATAGGTGTTTGGGGATCAAGCAACTCATCTTTTATAGTTGTGCATTCTCTTACTAAGTCAAAATTGCTTTTGGTCCTATCTTGTAGAAAGAAAAATGTCAGCTCTACAATGCAATCATACCGACCATACTCTATAGTTTCAATAAAGCTAATTGTGTACCTCCCTATCGAAAAGTTTCTACGATTGTAGATGACTTTACCTCTGCATTTTCATTCTTGATTATACTAAGGTATTACTTATTAACTACAAGATAATTATGGCCAACGGTAACAATCAAATAAATAAATAAAAATAGCAGAAATAGATAGAAAATTGGGGCCATAAGCTTTGTAGGTGTTTCCAAGTAGACAAGAAGACTAGTACCTAAGAATGTCTTATATGTGAAAGTTAAAACATGAATGGTTTTAAATTCATGTCGTGTTAAGAAATGACTATTTGTCGGGAGAAAAATCTTTCTATGAAAAGTGCATATGACTAGGATATAAATGTAGTTTCATACTGAAATTTTTTGTTTTGGTCTTTAGAAATGAAGTTATTCAAAGTGCAAATCTTGCAAGAAGAGATGTTGTTCATGTTGTAGTCTTTGATTTATCATTTATCAATGTTTGCATAGTTAATATCAATATGCTTGGTTCAACCATACAATCAAAGGTTGTAAAGTAGGCAAGCGTTGCTAAAAATTTGATCGTTGCAATTTGAATTTTGTACTTTGATTGCATTTTCACGTACGTTTCTATTTCCAACTTGGGAAAAAGTTTCACATTTTAGGATTGTTATTATTTTGTGAATTTGTGGCTTTTCTTATATTATCTTGTCTACGTCCCAATTTATTTGCTAGCTTTTTGCTCTAGCACGACATTGTAGGCGGTATAATCTTGATAGAGTTTTGACCATTTTGCCTTTATTTTTGATGATTTTATAAATTGTATTGATAAGGAAAAAAAAGAAAATTGAGTATAAAGTAAAGAAAGGTTTAAAACATTTTGGAACATCTGAAATTAAAATAATAGCAAACAATTGAGACGGGAGGTATTACTTATGTTTTAGTCGGTTTTTGTAATGGAATAATAGTTATATAATATTATGTTGAAAGATCATATTTTTCATAATGATGGGATACTATTAATTATACATCATTTATGTTGTTAATCAAGCATGGCCCTTCTTTGGAAAATGCATCTCAAATTTATTGTTCAATACATTTTGGGAAAATTGCAAATTTTACCTAATATGTATGTCAAATTATCAATTTTAGTTTTTTTTTTTTTTTTCGCAATTCAGGACAATATGTAGCACTTCTAGTGCTGATGTGTATGTAGCCGGAGCTGAGCTGGACGCCATGGTGGATATCACCGGTGATGACATGTATAACAACACTACAAAAAAATATCAATTTTGTAACGAGATTTTTTCGTTCTTAAATACACTTTTTCCGTTATTAATGATATTAGAGACAGAATTATGGATGAAATTACGTTAGCTACGTGAACTTTAGGCACAGAATTCCGATACAAATATACTAGTTTTTTGTAGTGATATAAATACTATTTTTTAAAAAATAAATTAAATATATATTATTCCATCAATCAATTTGGTAAAAAAAAAATTAAAA